TTTATTTTTTTTAAAAAGTACTTTAAACTGTATAAATAATGTAAAATTAAAATGATTTAAACAGCCAATCATACGAATGTCTTCCTATGGGTGCCGCGTAGAGGCACGTTCCGACAATTATGATCATGATTTACGAGTCGTGGTTGGCTAACTGAGGTTTAATTCGGGATTGTTGCACTTACGTAATAACGTACAAAAAATAAGAAAAAAATCCATGATCATAAGAGTTTGCACGATAAAAATATTTATTTAATATCATTAACAATTTTTTGAAATCTTCCTCAAAAAAAGGTTACGACATTTACGATTTTTATATAGAAACATTATTATTTTTTATAAATATATACTGTACAAATTTAAAAATATATATAATAATAAATTATGCATATATTATTTAGTTAAATTAGCAAAACTTTAAATATATTAACTATTGCTACAGCAGTAACCATTATTACTTTAACAAATTTAAGATGTAAACCTTATTTGATAAGTGTATACACTTGACTCTCGCTAATATATATCAACCCATTTGAATCACTTTTATATTCGTGCTAATATAAAAAATCATATTAAAGTTGATATACTGTATATAAAAGAATTTTAATATATAGAAACTCTTTTTAGTGTTTAAGTTGATATTAATAGGATTGATACGTATTAACGAGAGTCAAGTATACTAAATGCTTTTTTTTTTTTAAAAAAAAAGCATATATTTTATAAAATTCAATTTTCCGAAAAAAAAACTTTTTTTGCCAATTTTGTCCCTTTTATCATTAGCACCAAGCCCATATATTAGATTGAACTAAATATAAGAATAATCTTATTTATTTTATTTAGAATCTGAATTAACGAAATAAAGTTATTTCTTTTTCTTCTTGAAATCTGGTATGAACTAATTTTACAACTTCTGATGGATAATGTGTTTCAGGGTCATCAATATTTTCGTGTGCATCTGCCTCGGACTTAGTCATTACCACACAATTCTGTAGTGTTAAGGGAACATTGTTTTTCCATCTAACAAGTGCTGGTTTCTCCCATGATCCGGACACTATGCTTTTGCTACGAAATATCTCATCATAGATATATCCAACATCGTGAACGTCTAAGGGTATTGATCTAAATAAAGATTAGGAATTGAAATTAACTATATAATTCATATAATAAATATGTACAGTCAAACCTTTCTAAATGCAACTCGTAGAGACAAAACTTTTGTTATTGTGCATTTATAGACCGATAAGAAAAACTGTATCTATGGGTCAAAATATATTTTGCTAGAGTTTGAGGTTGCATTTAAAAGAGGCGCTGCATTTAGGAGTCTGACCGTAATAGAAATTCATCTGTTATTTTCTTTACTCACGTTACACCATATTTCCTTCTTTCTCTATTCAGTAAATCGCGATGCATTCGACTATATAATGGTTCGCGATTTTTATTAGCCAACGGTTCTACGTGATACCCAGAAACACTAGTGATAATATAAGTTGCAATTGCCATTCCGAAAATGGCGGGAATTGTGCCTAACAAAACACATATTTTAGTTTAAGGTAAAAGAATTAAAGCATAAATACATGCGAACCTAACACTGGCAAAATTCTCGACCGAAAATCAGGCAATGTGGCATATTCTCCTGCACTTTGGACACGACTTTCATCTGTGAAAAATAATAACATATCGTTCAAGAACAGGTGAAATAAAAAGACACGTCTTTAAAAAATAAATCCCTGGATCACTAACCTAATGGCAGCAATTTTATATTAGGTTTTTCGGTAGAGTATGCTACCATGATTCCTGATTCGACACCCAATTTTTTAAGACGGCGTCGAACAGCTCTTGCAAGTGGATCCTCTATTATTTGATATGTTTAGTTTTAGGTATAGTACAATTTAAAAAAGAAATCAGAGAAATAATAATGGTATACCAATCGTAAGACTTATATCGCTCATTTGGACACGTGACGGATCTGCTTTAGCACCAGCTCCCATCGAACTCAAAATCTATACATAATTTCTATAGGTTATTAAAGTAATAAAATTTTGATGATACAAAAAAAAAAAAACGCTTACTGGTAATTTATTGTCATGGCAATATTTGAGAAGATCAATTTTTGTATCGATATTGTCAATTGCATCAACAATGAAATCCGGATTTCCTGTAAAGACTCTATTTAAACATGAAATCTTTTAATAGAAATAATTCTTGAGATTTTTCTTACCTGATAAGAGGTGAGACGCACTTTCTTTAGTGAATAGTTCAATAATTGGCTCAACTTTTACCCAAGGAGCAAATTCTTTAAAATTTTTTTGTAATGCAACAACTTTTGGAATACCAACGTCTGAGTGTGTTGCAACAGCATGCCGATTCAAGCTACTCAATGTTACTTGGTCAAAGTCTATAATTCTAACATGTTCAACTCCAGAACGAACCAGCATTAGTGCAGCCCAAGAACCAACGCCACCAGCTCCAACAATTATGACGAAAGACTTTCGTAATTTTGCAACTCCTTTTTCGCCAAGGAAGGCTATATTTCTAGCCAATTGTTCTTTTATAAGTGTTTCATCAAATTGATTCTGTTCGGTGACAGCACTTAATTGCTCGACACTACGTTTTTTTGGCTGAAGTAACTTTTGTGAAGGTGGTAATGAAGAAAGTTCCCTTTTAAGAGCTCGAGTACGCGCTTGTCTTTGAAATGATTGATATGAAAATATCGCGATTGCTGTAGCTACTGTCGCGCTAAAGGCTGTGAAAGCAAATTGAACTTTAATGTTTGACATAAAAGAAGTAAAATAACTCACGAACGAAGTCATGATTAATCGTCGCGTCTTTTTAGTGAATTTGAATATTTGAAATATCAGAATTAGACTTTTACAGATAGCAAAAAAAAAAGTTGCCGCTTCAAAATTAATTTGAAGGGAAGCAATTTTTTGTGTTTTATGATAGAGGCACAATGTCACGTTATAAACAAAAAATTTCGATATTACGATATTACACGTGATTTTAAACTCTTTTATCCATCTTACTGCGAGAAATGTTGAAAAAATGAATCCTGCGACTTCTACGAATACTTTAAAAGATGGACTTCCGATCGGGAGTGAAGTGATATCCCGATCCGCTCTCGAACATGATATTCGATTGCTCATAGTTGGCTACCAGAAAGTTTGTACTTTATTTTTTTAATTATAAACTCGAGTGTCAATTAATACTAAACGCGAATCAATTTAGAAACAAAGTTATGATTTTACAACTTTCGCAAGCGTTTGGAGGGATTATAAATTTTCAATGATGCACTTTGCATGCACAGAAAAAATTGGGCGACCAACTTTTATGCAAGCCTTATATCAAATCATATTATGTAGTTTATTATTATTATTATTGTTGTTATTGAAGGTCGTCTTTTTCATTAATTTGATTCTCTTTACTAGCATATTTTTCCAGTACACACTTATTAGAAGTAAAGTTGGGTGTTTTATATGGTTTATATCTACTATTCTTTACGCAGCCTGACACGTTCGACAAAGTTAGAATTCGCCTATCGTTGAGTAAGGCTCTTTTTTTTTTTTTGTTTCCTTTTTTTTTTTATTTTATTTTATTATCTTACCCTTTGCAAACGTGTAAACTAATAGTATTACATTTCAGAAATGTGGAAATCGTTATTTGAACTCTATCAATATTGCCAGAAACATAATATATATGATGCAGAGTATATATACGAAAAGATGAGAGCAGATGATACGTTTGAGTTTGTCGCTGTTATTGATCCTTGTGGAGAATATGGAAATATTACACAGGGAAAAGGATCAAAGAGGTTTATATCTATACATATATTGTGTTTCCCCATTACTATACATACATTATAATGAATATACTATACCTATTTTTTAGAATCATCCCAAACTATATAACAGAAATTAGAGACGAATTAAGCACAGGATCTTTAGTAAGTTATTTATATAAGATATTTTAAAGTTATACATAACAAATTGACGTTTTTTTTTTTTTTGTTTTTTTATTTAACTTTGATAAGGGTGAATTTGAATGTCCAGAATCTTTGAGCTGTCTTGATCAAATAGTCAATCAATATCATTTAAAGAAACGAAAGATCTCCGAAACAGAGGAGGCAAGGGCAGCGTCACGTAAGATTACTCGTAACAAGATGAATTCAAGAACAGAAGATCAGTTGGTAGATATCTGGTCAATTGTCGCACCTTTAAATGCATCCGACGAAAAAATTGTCGACAATTTGAAAGGCAAGCTTGAACAAATCAAGAAAGAACGACTTGAATATTTGTCAAAGGTCGATGAAGCCATTTATATGAATTATAATGAAGATGACAATGATGATGAAAAAGTTGTATCAAATGTGTCCGAAAAGGTATTAAATTCTTTTTTAAATGCATAATTTTTTTGTCCTATTACTAATCCATCCGATATATAATTTACAGGATACTGCGTTCGATGTTCGGAATAGGATAAGAACACAAAATTATCAGAACAATAATAGACAATTTGTACCTTTCGCCTTACGTGCCACTCTAAAGGCAATGGAAAAAGATACGCTAGCACGGTCGTTTAGTATGAATGCCCCACCACCACCGTCTAAAGCGTTATCGTCTTTAGGAAGAGATATCCGATAATATCGTCTTATATTATCGAAGGCACTGTAGAACAGTGTTGGCTTATGACCCGTTATGACCTATTGGCTAATAATAGGTTATGACCTTATGATCCACAATGACAAATAAAATTTTCTATTACATTATGACCATCTTGGTCATATAAAGTTGAATATGACCTAAAATGGTCAACACTACCGTGGGCGTTTTCATACCATTATACTGTATTTATCAACTCCTGGATAGGAATAGGAATGGTTCATAATAAAGATCATGGCTTTGAGCTGAGCCAATCAAGGCTTCTTTTTTAAAATAATGCAAAATCCAAAAACCGAAAAAAATTGAAAAGTTTTACAGATTTATTAATATTTCGTTAAAGTTCAGTTAAATAGCGTATGTGATCCTTTATTTTTTTTTATTTTTTTTTATTTTTTTTTGTTTTTATAAATTTAACGAATTTATATCAATAAAAATTTTTTTTAAATAGAAACATTACTTATTATACAATATATAGGATATTATGAATAGTATATTATGTACAATACTTACAGTATTATATAATAAGTATTTAATTACAGTAAAAAAAAAAAGTCTATTTAAATATGTAAATTGCATAAAATCCATTGATTCACGCGCTTAATTGAAGATTAAAAAGTCATGAATGCCAGAATTTCTATAATTTCAGAATAAAGTCATCAATACAAATAACTTTCATCGATAGGTTTAATTGACAATTTTGCAAATTATATACGTATTTACTACATTACTAAGAAGTTTATTTATAATTATTTATCATTATAAGACTCGCAGTGTAGAACAGAATGACTAGATATATATATATTATTGTAAGAGAATTTTAATTAGTCATTGTACATAACATGAATGGCACATTTTTCGACTATAAATACATATGTACTTACTTTCTCAGTTACGTGTGTCCTTCATATATCCTCTTCCTCTACATCGTGCACATACATTCCAAATTCTATGCTATCTTCCATTATTTCCCTTGCTTCATTTAATGCAATGCCACCCCGGTCTTGGGCAATTAGTCTAATTGCCGTTTCAGGGACAAGTACTTGATTAAGATATTCCAGAGGTTCTTGAGGTTTAGTCATATTCAATGTTAATCGTTTTGATTCAATAAAAAGGGAAACGAGCGTGGAAAAAATAACAGAGGACCCTTTAGAACCGTAATAACCCGGCTGTTTCAAAAAAAAATATAAACATAAATTTGTTGAATATTTTACAGTAGAAATTAAAACTCAAACGTACTAAAAATTTTTGAAATCTCCCCATCACTACGGTCGGTTTCCTTGCTCTAGCTTTGCCCAATTCGTTGTACGCGTCCATCGCAATTTCCCTGAACAGACTCTTAGTTTTTCCGGTTGCAACCTCTAATAATTCAGGAAAAAAAACTTTAATCCGATTCGGTAGAGTGTCAAAGTCAATGACTAATGGGTAATTTTTTTGAAGACCATCTGGTACAATGTGAGATTCTGCGTCATGAAGACGACAAAATTCAAATTGATCTACAATGTTTGACGAAGAACCCTTAATCGAAGACAATGAAAGTGTTTTGGTGGGTGATTCCAAATATGCACGTATACGTGGAGGAAGGGGATCAGGAAGAGTCTCATTACAATAAGGGCATTTCTTTTTTAAATCAGTGGAACCTGAAACAGAATAAACAGAATAAATAAAAATTTTCAATTTATAAAACTAGAATTGTAAATTTCAAGATATATAATACCTTCTCTATTTCTGCGCATATCGCTTGGTTCAGGTGTACCTTCATCGGATAGTAAATCAAGTTTTGGTAGGTTTATATACCTTCCCTTTGTTGGTGAAGGAGCCCTAAATCCATTTGTACATTTTTTCAAAGTTTTCGGACGATCTTTAGAATCTTTAGTCAGGTCAATGAGTTGAGGAGATGATGCTCTAATATTTTGCGATATTGCGAACAATTTGTTTTTAGAGTTATGATTTAAAGTTGGTAAAGTTTGCGTGTACTTTAAACTGCGTTCACTCAGTATTGATCTAGTATATTGTCTTTTAAATTTTGAATTATCAGAAGATTCCAAAATTTCAATAGGCCTCAGATCATTTTTTTCAGTATTAGATCCGGACGATGACCCTCGAAACTCGGAAAATCTATTTGTTTTGGGGGAGGGTCTTCTGAAAGATCTCTGGGGATATGTTTTTTCTTTCGGTAGCTCTGGTTTAGGTGAAGGTCTTCTGAATTTATTATTCTTAGTGTATGTATTCATTGAATCACGTGCAGCCTTTTGGGATTTTTCAGGCGAACTAAATTCAAGCACTTCACAATCCGAATCCGAATCCAAATGGTTCATATTTAAATCCAAGTTAGCGAATTTATGTGTAAGGGAAGAAGACAGACTATTGGAAAGTTTGACTTTTTGTTTTTTAGGCGGTAAAAGTGTATGCTTCAAGGGAGATTTCTGAATCAAAGGAGATTTTTGAATCAAGGGAGATTTTTGATTTTTAGTCTTGACTATTAAAGGTTCAGGAGAAATGTTTTCCTTTGACAAGTAATTTTTTTTGTTAGAGGCTTTTACAGAATTTTCATCAATATTGCCTTTATAGCCGTTGTAACGCGAAGCAATAACGAGTGTCCGCTTGCCACGTTTTTGGAAAAGAAAAGGTTGAGACATTTTGCCGAAGAGTGCAATAGTAAGTTAAATATCTGTGACGATATGGTATTGATAAAAATAAACTTTGATAAACTTTGCGCCCACTATGTTTCAAGGGGACGTAAAGATTATCAAACTATAATATCATAGAAGTGAACGCGTCAGTTCGGGGATTATATGATTAAATAGTGATCTGCAATTAATGAACATTGTCATTACCAATTGACCCAATAGAATTAATTCCCTATACAATTAAAAGTTTTATTGTACGTACGTACGTACGTAGCTAGTCTTTCAACAATGATTAAAATCTCGGTTGCACCCACCTAAAAAATTTCGATAAAAAGTTTCGCCATTATACGTACGTACGTCTTTAGAGTTTACAGTCAAATTGGGCACTAGAATTAGTAATTGGGATTGGAGTTGGACTTAAACTGTAAAAAAAATTTATTTTGTAAAAATTCTGTGAATCTGCAACATGATTTGTAGACCGAATAATTTCCGTCATTTGTAAGTATAAATTCCATAAATATGCATAAAACATGGAATACGTAGAAACACGAATTAACTTTTTTATAGGGTTATAAGTTCTGATTGGAATTTATGGTTAGAGTGTGGTGGCAGAATTTGTACGTACAGAATTCTGCGAGCAGAATAAAAATTATTGGTGAATATAGTCTATTGTGATCAAATTAGAATTTTCGTTTTGTTGTAATTGTGTTTTTTAAAGTATTATTTATACATCACCACAGAATTTGCTAATTTAACGATAATTTTTCAGTTAGAGCAGTACCCTGGACACTCTAGTTATGGTTGCAAGAAAACCATTCGCTTTTGTTAGTGTAACATCTAAACAGCATAGTGATGGTTCGATTTCATTGGTTAATGGTTATCAGCATATTTAAAATTTCCGATTGGGTAACTTAATATATTATCGCCTATATAGGATGTAACAAGGTAAACCGTCGCGCAAATCCAGTGAGTCGCAGGGATGGCAAATGACCTTCAAATGACCTTCAAATAACCTCAAATGACCTCAAATGACCTCAATTTTATTATGAATTTTAGTCGGAAATGACCTAGGTCATTTGAAAAAAAGGCAAATGACCCCTAATTTTGCCATCACTGGTGAGTCGTGTGTTAGGGTATTAAGGATTAGGGCAATATTGAAGGTGGTTTTATACAAATATGATGAATATTGTTAATACGATAGGGCGAAAATGGAAACTTGGAAATTGTTTTTTATTGATGGTGATAAATATATTAAATAGTAATTAGTAGATTCGTATCAACAACCTAACCATTTTTGAGGTTGTAAGTAGGAGAAATAATAGATTTCCCCTGCAGCACCCACAAAATTTTTCCGGACACGTGATTTTTAAAGTTCATTATGTCGTTAACGATAAAATTTTTAAAGTTCGTTTATATTAGGGTTAGCACTTACTTTAGAGTTAGATGTTAGACAAATTTATAGTAAAATGCCTCGAGGAAAATTTTTTATTAAGACACAAAAGGTGATTTCTTATGCTTATTTTCAAGAAATATGCGATTTTTGACTTTTTTTTGACAAAGCGAACGTTTGTTTTGAATTTTCCTGATCGTGTAACGTTACACCTGATCCTGAAATTTGATTGGCAAAAAATCACGTGTCCGGAAAATTTTGTGGGTGCTGCAGGGGAAGTCGAAATAATACAGTCAGGGAATATTTCAAAAATGGAGAAAGTCTCCGGACACCTACCACTCACGTGATTTTGTATCTACCGATTATCGGTATATGACATACTGATGAGTAGATACAAACATAAGTATACAAGAAAACTTTATTGCACAAGCAGTCTCTTAAACCCGAACCTGCCAAAATTGATAATCTGTCAAATCCAATAAAAAATTAATCCAGCAGTTCATAAACCTAGTAGTTTAAATGTTTTAAACCTGATGACCTAATAATATTAATACAATTGTTTACCGTGCATATCAGTTTTGATAGGTTCAACAGTATTAACATTAAAAGATCAAAATTTTTATATTCTTCTAAATTTCATTATATGAATGTTTTGGGCGATTATTGATTTTAACAAAATACTGTTGAACCTTTCAAACACGATCCTGTTAAAATCAATAGCTTGTCAAATCTGATAGAAATTAATTCACCAAGTTCGCTTTCTCTATATAAACCTAATACTTTTGAATTTCTCAAAACCGATGTGCACGGTAAACTATGAGGTCATCAGGTTTGAAACATTTAAACTACTAAATTTATGAACTTGGTGGATTAATTTTTTATCAGATTTGACAGGTTATCAATTTTGGCAGGTTTATAAACTTGGATTAACTTTTTATCGGATTTGACAGGTTATCAATTTTGGCAGGTTCGGATTTGAGAGATCAACACTGCTTGTGCAATAAAGTTTTCTTGTATACTTACGTATGCATCCTACTCATCAGTATGTCATATACCGGTAATCGGTAGGTACAAAATCATGTGAATGGTAGGTGTCCGGAGGCTTTCCCCAAAAATGGGGGATGGCTAAAGCCATGTACCTACGTGATTTTAATGTTTTAATCGTTTAAATTAAAATTAAAATTAGCATTAGGGTTAGTTGGGTGTTAATATAAGAAGAGGAGTATATGTAAAATTGCCTTCTCAACATTTTTAATTAGTGCCTCAAGATAGGTTAAGACTGTTTTTTTTTTTTGATTTTAAGGTGACCTCTTGGTCGATTCTCTTTATTCAGTTATTAGTCAAGTTTTACTGTATGCTAAGCCTCTTACGATGCCCGTATAGTATACATATTTTGGAGAGTACAAACTAGCCACACGTACAACTTTTGATTGCCTATTTAAGTAGTCCGCTTATTACTAAGTTCTACACTAGATGCCATACCTATAACCCAACTAGGGGTTATCTATTTAAACCCTCTGCGCCATATGTGGGTCGACTATTATTATAACCGAATTGGGTTATATCCCTTAAGAAAGACTGTTGTTTTTTGTCTTTTTGCGTTTTCTTTATTTTTTAACTTCTTTGAACTAATCTGTGTAAACAAAATTTCACAATTCTGGTTAGTTGATTTACACAAAAAAGTTATGTAGGTACATGGCTTTAGATAACCCCCAAAAATGGATATTGTAGATTACACCTTTTATGGTATAAAAGTGTCGATCAGAAGATTCTAGATTTCATAGTATATGAGCATTAACCAATCAAATTAATCAAGAAGTTCAATATATAAAAGAGATTTACGAATGAGTAGTGAAGCTTTATTTTATACTAAATCTTTTAAATAGTAATTATCTTTTGCTTTTAACTATCACTACCTTTCAAAAAATACATTATTGTATTTGGTTTATACTATCAAACAGCACAATCCATATACATTATTGAACAATATCGTCTGATATTTATTTGCTATTTAAATATATTTCTGTATTTCGTCTTGATTGTTTTCTTTTATAAATAACTTTTAACATCTATATAGTTAAAATAAATTAAAATTTTAAGGTTACTATAGTATAAATAAAACTTTTATAACGTTTTTTAAATATATACAAATTTTAAAAATAATCTTATGTTAACTGTTAACTAATGACAAGTTTTAACTTTTTGTTAAAATGAATATCTTTTTTTTAGCTTCTCATTTACTTTGGCAAAAAAGGTTGATTGCTGCTGATTAATTTTGATTATTAAAACTAGATGTCTTGAACAATATGTTTGAAGCTTACCAGATCTCAATAATTATCAAAAAATTTTTTTTCACAATATACGACGTTTAAGTGATAAAAGATAAATTAAAGCCAATCAAATTCAAGAATCTACCTGTAGATCGTTCTAGAATGTGATTTTCTAATTTGGAATATCCTCTAACTGTAATATATCCCTTAGATTGTAGTAGAATACAGGCAAATTTGCCTGCGTTTTTACACTTTTTTAGCTCTGATTTACTT